ACCCTGCTTATTTTTAACAATTTTCTTGGCTTTCTCTTATTTCGTTGGACGCGTCGCCTGGCTCTGCAATTGCAGAGTCGTCCTCAGAGCCCGGAGCCTCAGCGCGCTGTATAGGGAGCCTCACCCTGCTTCCTCCCCAGACGCTAAAAAAACAATCTGGGGACTTCAAAGGGGGCTCTACCTTGTCGCGCCGGCTCTTCTCCCGATTCCTCCGGATCGTGGAGTTTTCCTTTTTTTTTTTTTATTGAAAAAGTTTTCAAATACAAATTTTTCCCCTTTTTTTCCTTCCCCCCCCTCCTCCCTAACCCCCCCTCGCCACCCATCCCCCCGTGACTTCTTCACACCAAAAACCTAATTCATAACAGATTACATAATATTTTACCATCTCCTTACTCCCTCCTCTATATACTGACCATTACTTACTAAAAATATTATTGATATTGTTACTTTCCCCTTTTACCATACATTTCAAAAAAAAGCAGTCTACTATAACATTGTATGATAACTTCTAATTTAGCATAATATTATTATAACTCCCAATTTAGCAATAATCTGCCCTTTTTGTCCTCCCCAAAACTTATATCTATATATTATTACAACATTTCAAAGCAACTTTCCACTTTAAGACTATATAATAAATCCTACTTTAACATTTATTCTTTGTGTATATTAATATAACATTTCAAAGCAGCCTTCCCCATAAATCCTAATTTAACATTTATTCAACTCTATCCATTTCCTCCACTGCCCTAAATATATCACTTAAACATCCCTTTTCTTAAACTAATCAATCAGTAAACTAACATATTTCCACCCACTTTCCTACAAAATTACCATGCACAACAATTCTTAATATCTTTAATCCACTGCCCACTCTGCTAAAATATATATATATATATATGTATATATTCCGTTATTTAAAAAAAAAAAGACAATAACTTTAAATTTATAATCCATATAATATCTTCTTTGATGTCTTTCCACTGGATTGTTGAGTCCCTCATCCATAATTGGGTAACGTAGCATCCTGGTGCAACAGTTTGTTCAAAGTCTTCAGTCATCATCTGCCCCCATCAGTAATGAATATCCTCATATATATATAAAAGTAAAAACAACCACCCGAGTGACATTATGATTATATTCCATATAGTTGTAATTGTGGCTTTCATCAGGATTATTAATTCCCATCATCCTAATGGGTAACAACCAGATCTTCTGCATGCCCCAACGTAGCTCTCTTGCCTTGTAGCTCAGAATAGTTATAATATATTTATCAATACAAGAAAGAAATCCAAAATAGATAATTCAAATCCAACAGTTTAAGGCTCTTTTCACATCCCAAAATTACGGCATTGCAGAGGTCTGTCACTGTCCTCAGGATGATATTAACCAATACTTCGCCTCCACTATCTTTTCAAATATTCATTCATTTTTTTAAAATCACTGGCTTCACCGTTGCTTAATTTAGAAATTTCTGTTTTTGTGAGACCTATTTCTTTTTTTCTTTTCTTTTTGTGGGTTTAATTTCCATCCTGTTTTCCTTTCTACAAGTTGTATATCAACTGATCGGTTTTCATTCTGCTTTATAAGTTGATCTTGTTGGTTTTGTTTTTGTATCTCATATTTCTTTTTTGCCAATTGTATGTCAGCTAATTGATTTCCATACTTGTCTTTGACTTGGTGAATCATCACGTTGAAATCAGATGCCGCTTCTCTCATATTTGTAGATAATCCAGCTGGGGTATCGAGAGAATCCAAAGGCAATTTGTCTACCGCAACCTCTGTAATTCGATGTTTTCCCTTTATTTCCAACTCCTTCTGCTTATCCTGTATTGTGCCTATAGATGTTAAGTTCATTTTCAAATTTTTTTGATAAAATTCTTCCGCTTTTTCAACAGTATCTAATTGGTATCTTTCTCCTTGATATCTCAATATTATGCCAACTGGGGCATCCCACCTAAATGAAATATTTCTGTATTTTAACTCAGTCACCAGAAAACCAAATTTCTTCCTTTCCGTTAACATCTTGGGGGGGAGCTCTTTGTAGATCCATATCTTTCTTCCATACAATTGCAAAGTAGAATTGAAGGAATTTTGCACAATATTATTCCTAATTTCTTTATCTGTAAAATAAATCACCACATCTCTAGGCAATTGCCTTTGCTTTGCAATCCAGGAGTTTATTCTGTAAACTCTGTCAATCCTACAAAACACTTCCTCAGGTTGAACCTTTAAAATCCCAGCCAGAATTTCAGAAGATATTTTCCTTAAATCATCTCTGTTATTTTCCTGCAAACCTCTCAGTCTGATCGCATATTCTGTAAAATTGTAATGCACCATTAGAACCTCTCTTTCAATAGTTGTTGTAAATTTTCTGCATTACAAGACTTTTGTTCAACCTCCATTTTAGGTTTTTCTTCTGAACTATTGTCTTGAATGTTTGTCAAATCATTTTCAATTTTTTGTATTTTATTGTCCAAATTGTCCTCAATTTCTTCCACTTTAGACTCTAATAAGTTAGTATTTTCACCCAACTTAATCATAAATTCTGCAAAGCCATTAGCCATTTTTATAATCTTTCGATCCAGAATATCAAACTTTAATTGCACTAATTCTTTAATTTCCTGCTTAAATTTTTCAAAGTTCTGATTCACAATCTCATCCCTTCTTACAATCTCCTCCAAAAGAAATTCAATTATATTAAAATCAGTTTTCTGAGACTGGAGCTTTAAAACTTGGTCACGTAATTTGTTAATGGGGGAATCCCCCCCCCCCATTGCTTGTTTGTCCGGCTTTAATGCCATATTTCAACACAGACAAACTTTTTTTTTTTTTTTTAAAAAGAGAGGCAGCAAAGAAAAAAAACTTCTTTCCAACCAAGATCAATATCAGATCTCCAGGAAGAGAAAAAACACAAAAGTAAAGCTTTATTTTCAAGTGTAGCCAAAAGTATTTATTCAGCTACTTTGTATCTCAATAGGAAACGGAAGGACTCTCCCTTTCAGCCCCTTCTCAAGCCTCGGCAATCGCCCTTTTTAAAGATTCTTTTTTCCTTTTCCTTTTCCTTCTTCAATAATTGTTATAAAATAAGTGAGATACTTGCGATTCAGGGTTACAGATCCAGCTCATATCCCTTCAAATGTAGCCAGGAGCATTTATTCTGCTATTTTGTGACTTAATAAGAAACGGAAGGACTTTCTCTTTTCAGCTTCCCTGTTCCAGTTTCGGCAATCGCCATTTGAAAAGGTCTTTTTTACTTTGTTGAATATCCTTTGCGAAATAAGTATTAATACTTGCAATTTAGGGTCACAGATCCAGATCCAAATCTCATAATCTTTAGTTAATCTGTTAAATATCTTAAAAAGCTTGTCTTCGTAGCCTTGTTCTGCAAAAAGGCAGAAGTCTCCCAACGCCCGGAGCGGGCGGCGAGTGCTATAGGGAGCTTCCTCCGCCCGCCCCCAAGAGTAAAAAAAAAAAACCCTGGGGGCTACGGAGAGCTCTACCTACACTCACCTGCTCTATCCCACATTTCCTCCTGGAAATGGGGTTTTTCGAGCCGCCTTTGCGCTGTACAGGCGGCTCTTTACAGGCGAAGGGGCTGGTGGTCCCGAGGGACCGTCTGGTGGCTACGAAGAGCAAACCGGAAGTCCAGATCATGGAGTTTTCCAAGCCACCTCTCAACTGCAGAGATGGCTCTTTATGAGCAATGGGGCTGGCGGTCTTAAAAGGACCGTCTATCAGCGACAAAGGTTCCAACCGGAAGTCCTGAAGCCTGAGTTATTAATCCATACTTATATACTGCCCATTAAAATACTTATATACTGCCCATTAGAATTTTCTTGTTTACCATAGAATGATGGTCCATATATAGGAAACTGGATTCTGATTCTTATGTGATTCTGGAAAGATTCCTCTATCTATTCTTATCTGAGATAGAGAAGGATTCCAAGATATTCAACTGATGCAGGAATTGATAAAGTGGAAAACCAGAAGGAAGTTAACTAGCAGAAACGTCTTTGTGTGCTCCAAACTTCAAGTCTTAATGTAATGTTCAAGTTATTGTGATGTTAATTACAATTATTCCATAAAGGGAATTCTACTCTGGGTGCTCTATTCTAGAAAATAATGGCTAATTCCAGCCTTGTCAAGATTAAGTATTGGGAACATATTAATCATATGAGCATTTATGTAATGTTTTGCCTGTAACTCATGCATATTAATTCATTAAATCCTACGCTAAAAATTTTGGCCTTTTATTTCAATGGAGAACTTTCTTGGTGATAAGAAAGAATGAAAACTAGACTGTCTTTTTTTAATGGCAAATTTAATTGTATGATTTACTTCATAGCTGATTTTGACAATTGTCAACAGTAGAATTAGAATTATACAAATTGAAAACCTTAGCAATAACTTAAAAATATCATAGGCAGATTTTCAGTATAATTTTGACTGAAATCTAATAAAAGAATTATTCCAGACTAAATATGGCCTATGGCAATAAGATACCCTCGTGAAAGAATAAAAATGAAACGGGTTCCATATTAATGAAGTTGTATCAACTTGACAAAGCAGAGTTCAGAGAAAATGCAGCAGAAAAGGAATACAATGGAACAGAGCTGCAACCCCTATTATCACTTTGCTGGAGCATGCTTCTAATATCACTCATTACATTAAGTAGCACTCATACTGCAAGATCTTTTTACAACTCTGAGAAATCTTAAGGCACAATGTTTATTCGCTTTCTTTTTTCTCCCCCCCCCCCATTGTTTTCCCCCCTTGCATACAATGGTCCAGTAAACAGGACTTCAAGGGGAAGCACAACATGTAGAAATAATAGTTGGAATTATATTTTAATATTAGTTTTAGTGTCTTGAATAAAAAGCATCTATTGAATCATTTCAAAAATTGTAATTATTTTCTATGGTGACCAATATAGATGACAACTAGCCAGTTTTGCCATGAATTGTCTTCCTCCAAAAATAATCAAGACTCTGTCTTACCTGATGGTTGAGCCATGAACAAGGAATTTCAGGCCGTCCTCTGTCCCTTAAAACATTGTCCTTCATGCTTTCTACACAAGGATGTTCTCGCACTTTTGAACCGAACGGTGGCTCATAGTCTTTCACTTCTACTAGGAAAATAAGCAAAAATGAAGACGCTTGGTTAGACTAAGAAGATTAAAATCAAGATGTTTGTGTTAGCCTCTCCTTGATAAAGTAGAATCTGATGCTGGCACCTGTTCTTATGATCTGAATTCAGTATTGTATTACATTTTCTGTTTCTGAGCCTCACATTTTGCCAATATTGCTAGACTATTACTGTCATTTATTTGAGAAAAAATATTGAAAAAGACAGTGGAAGATGTGGGTGCATTTCCTGAAATTTAAAGCTTTGTCCTAGAAGCCTTAAATTATTGTGATGATCTCTATTCCAAGGATACAAAAACGAGATAGTTAAAACCCCAAAACCTTCAAGAACCTGAGAGGGTTGTTTTATACCTATTTGCTAAGATAGAAAGATATTTAGAAAAATCAAATAAAACAATAGAGCAAGCCAAGGCACAATTCTTAACAGATTCCAAAAGAAATTAAAACTAAACTCATTCCCCATTCATAAATCATTACAATTCCCAAACTGTGAGGTCCTAAATGATTTGGGGTATATACTGAAGTATTTTTTTTTCTTCAGGTTTTCGCTAGATAATTCTGGAACAGACATGAAGACTGAACTAAGACAGATGGAATCATAGGAAGGCAAGAGTGTACTGTATGCAAGAATCTACATTTACATTTATTCTAAAAGCTGTTCTGCATTATATTGTGTGCTTCATGTGTAAAAAAAAAAGCATGAGAATTTTGAAAACATCTACGCAAAACTTCACTGCAAGTCTTATAATAGATTTCTTCAAAAGCCAGAGCTTCATTTGTTTGCTGCCTATATTTTCACCAACAAAAGAAATGAGGAAACGGGGTGGAAAATGGAAAAAAAAATTAAAGGCAACACCAGTGGCAACCCAGATTTCATTTCTGTTGTTTCTGTTGGTGAAGTCTGACAAGTTTAGCCAGCTACATGACAAACTTAGATACATTCATATCACATGCAAAAGTTGACTAGCTTCAACCCTGATTTTTTTGTTGTTATTTGTACGTCTTGTGAAAACCAGGCCTATTTTGTTAATTTATATTTTAATTGTTGTGTGGATCAAAAAAAATGTTAAATTCAATAATCAAGTACAACACTTGGCACTGTTGGCTAAAATGCATCATTCATATAAACGGTAGGATTTTAATCAGGAATAGACATGCATCTTCTAGGAATGAAATGATTTGTTTTTCATCCAATTTATGGCAGAGTTTTATTTATTTTTAACATTAAAAATAATTATATATTTATAGCAACAAAAGGCTATTTATAGAGTTCTGTTTCAGAATTTTGTGGACTGTCATGTGATTGCTCCTGCCAAATGGTAAAACAGGAGTATGAATTTAGGATGAGTAGAGGGCCTGTTCATGAATTTGAGAGGCACATTGGGTTTATGTTCTAAACAGCATGAAGTTCTACTTAAAATATTTACAGACAAGCACAAACCTATAAATTCATACACACACTCATAGTCATTACTTCTGGGACTGTGGGAGTTGGACTGATTCCTGTGTTGGGAGGGAAGACTAAGAAAAAGGAGAGCTGGATTCTAGGTTCAGCAATGAGGAAAGAGATGAAAGCAAGCAGGAACTGAAATGGAGAGGTGTATGATGGCACAGTTCAGGCAGAAAAATGAAAAGAGAGAAAGATGGATCATCAAAGGAAAAAGTAGAGACGAGGTGGAAGAAGTGGCCAATGAGGCAAAAGCAAAGGGATGTAGAAGAGACAGTTGGACAAACCAAAAGAGCGAGTGCAGAGAGGAGCAAACACTACAAGAAGAAGATAAGAAAGAAGAGTAGCAAAACCATGCTTTTTAAACTCGTCTTATAAATATTCCAAATATAAGTGAAATGCCTCCACTTACAGTGCCCTACAGTGGGGAAATTTGCCAGATCAGAAAATAGTTCTCAGAATTAAAAATAAAAGCACACAGTGAATTTTCCCTGGTCCATCTGCCTAGCTGCATACCTCTACAAGTAAGCTATAAATGATCTGCAATTATGTCTGAAACATGTTTTGCAAGTATTTATTTTGGAAATTTTTATTTTCTTGCTTTCCCACGACAAACAGTACTTTAAATAGCCTTATATATTTTTTTTATAAAATCATATCAAAGCAGAGAAATGTGGAAAAATAGCATCTATTTAGACCAGAGCCTGCTTTCTATCATTATGGTTTTAGAATTGGTTTCTGCAGGCAATAAAAAGCTTTAGATTAGACCAATATATTGAACTGAACTGACAAATACCCAAATCATTGTGGTTTCTCTAAGGAATGGTGTTTACTGCATTTAAATGTTCACTTCATATTTGCACATTTTCATGAAGAGTCAAGGTCTATTCTAAGGGATAGATTCAATCATCCAACATACAATTTGCTTTCAGGACACCAATAGGCTGAATAAGATAATTCCCCGAAATCTATTTTTGACATAAAAGGATGCAGGGCAAAACTGAAACATGGTCACAATTAACAGACACAAAGTATATTTCCTGGAGCCAGTGTAAGGAAACAAGTGTGACCCAAAGCACAATAAAGGGCATTTTAAAAATGCCAAGCTTTCTTTTGTAGAGAAAAAAAGGAAGAAGCCAATGACTCAATTTAAAGGGAAATCAGCATACTTGCATGATAGTATTGTAGCATTATTTCTGTAGAACTCTCATTTAAAAGAGCGGAGGCTACAGTTCATATGCTTAATTTTAATTTAAATTTTAATTTAAATGAAAAACAGTTCATTAAGTAGTCACATTTTTGAAACAAAACTGTTCGGGCGGGGGAGTGCAGAATAGCAGCTTTGCCTTCTTTTGTCATGTCTCATCATTTAAATACCAATATTAAAACAAAGAAAGCCAGTTTAGTGTAGTGGTTAAGGCACCAGGCTAGAAACCAGGCTAGAAACCAGGCGATCTTAAATTCTAATCCTGTCTTAGGCACAAAGCCAGCTGGGGGACCTTGGGCTGGTCACTTTGTCTGTCTTAGGAAAGGAGCAATGGCAAATTACTTCTGAAAAACCTTGCCAAGAAAACTGAAGGGATGTGTACAGGTAGCCTCTGAAAATTAGACATGATTGAACCAAAGAAAAAAAAATTAGAACTGAATCAGTCAGTTTTAATGAAGTGGGAAAATAAAAACGTGGCTGCATTTTCTTCTACTACATTTAATATTTGCCTGCTATAGGCAATGAGAAATTGGTCATGGATTTGTATCTGAATACTGAAAATTTTGGAGCACTTGAAAAAAGGAGTGTAGACTACTTTTCTTCCAAAATATTTAGATTTGTTTTTCCTGCCAACTACCGAAGTCCCAAACCTTTCAACATACCAGTTTTCTATACTTTCATCCTTAATCAAAATATATTGTTTCAGACAAAGCCAGCAAACATTTCAAGTAATCCAGCATTGCTTAAAGAAGCTCAAAGAGTGTAAGTTATTTAGAAACATATTTTCAAAGGTATTTTTTTGTAACTTGGCTGACAAAAATACTGAAAAGAAGTGATTTTGGGAGGGCTGTCAGAACACTTAAGGCTCACCGTGCTTTCCTTTCTCAGAGTATCCATGTCAGTTGCAAAGGCAAATTGTTTGAATGGAAATTATGTTTGTCACAATGCATAACATCTGGTGTACAGCTGTTTTACTGACTAAACTTCCAAGCAGGCACCTCAAGCTTTCCTAAAAGCAGTATTGCTTTTCTAAAGCAATTTCTAAATATGGCTTCTAAACTACTCTCTAGTGAAATATTGGGCAAGCTATAACTTCTTCCCACATTTTGTCCAACAAACAACTGAATGGTCTTGCCTAAGGTTGTTTCTTCATTTACAAGTATACTGATATTCATATCTTATGTTTAGAGATAAGACCAGCTCAAAAAGATTAAAATGTACTGAGGCTCTGTATATAAAATATATTCACTTCAACTTCACCTTACAGGAACCCACAATCCTTCCACATACCATAGACACATTCTTGAAAGACAAAGCTACTTTGTCATAAAATTGGCATTTAAATTAAAATAAGTATGTATTTAAAAACAAAAATCACAGACTATATGGTTCCCCCATCCCTGTTTTTATAACTATTTAAAAATCTCTGTTATGCTAATGACATACCCTGATAGTTGAAATTGCAATGGATCTGCAACTCCAGCAATAAAAGGACAAAAAAAATTATATATAAAAACAGGCTCTGTTTTGGTCATTAACTAGAGGACTACCTGCAGACCTATGACTGGTCACTTAAGGACCATTTGAAAGTATGACAACCTTGGAAAATAACTTACAAGCTATCTTCAAAATGATTTCAGGTATTTGGCAACATATGATTGATTACAGCATTCTGTGGTCAAGGAATCATGATTTGCAATTTATTTTTTTGTAATTTTTCAAGTAAAAAAACAGCAAAACCCACACTGGATAAGATGGATTTGGACACAAACTACATGATTGGTTTAATAACTGCAATAACTCTCTTTAAGACTGTCATAAAAATGGTTGAAAAATTGTTTGGTCACGTTGTGACTCAGTTTACAACTGCAACAATTTATAATCAAAATTCTGGACTCAATTCTGGTTGTAAGTCAAAGACTACCTGTGTATTTTTTAAAAAATTTTATTCATAAACATTTTTTGAATACAGTGCATTGTCAGGGTATACCATTTACCAATAAAAGAGACCAAAGAAAAAGTGATATTAAATATTAACACACAAACTAATAACAATAATATAATAGCAATAATAATATAACAAAAAAGCTTTAAGCTTCTTCTTACATTAGCTTATTTACATTTTTCTTGATTATTGTGATTATAGTTATGTACATCTCTATTTTCAATACTAACATTCATAATCTTACATTCTCTAATTTCTACCTCTTGCCTCTATCCATTCATAAAATTTATTCCAAATCAAATAATATTCTGTGTCTTCTTTATCTTTACTTTTTAAAGTTAGTCTGTCCAGTTCGGCACAGTCTAACATTTTTTGAATTACAACC